CGCTCCCGCGAGGCAGCTGGGACGAGGTGGCCGGGGGAGCGCGGGGCTCGCCGGCGGGGCGGGCTCTGAAAGGGTTAAATTGGGGCGGGCGGGGGAAGGGCCTCCGGGAGAACCGCGGCGGAATGGGAGCGGACGGAGGTGTGGGGACCCGAGAGCGCGTCGGCGTGACGAGGCCGTGCAGAAAGTGAGACTGGGAGGAAAGTTTGAGAGGGAGGGGGCGGGATGGCGGACGGGACAGCGGGGCTGCGCGGTGACAGGGGCCGGGGTCCGCCCCCCCTGTGCGAAGGAGACGGCGCAGTTAGGCGGCATCAGTTGCAGCCAATTCTCATCGCCGGGCCTGCAGCTTTAATGGGGTGGGACGGGCGGAAGGGAACGGTCATGTGGGCTCGGAGAAGTGGACTTGGGTTTGCTTTCAAAGGCTTCCTCGCTCGCTTCTCCCTTGTTTTCCTGGGTACGAAGCGAGGGAAGACGGGGACGCTGGTGTCGCGGGCGCGTGGTGGGAGCCGCGCGTTCCCTGGGGCTCAGCAGTGCGCGAATCGGGGGGCGGCCGCGCTGGGCTGGAGCCTCGACGCTCCGGACGCGGCTCTGGAAGTGTGAGAAGCGGAACAGGAACGCAGCCGGGCTCGTGAAACCCGGGCTTCAGCTCCCAGACCCTCCTGCCGTTCAGGTGGGTCTGGGAGGCGGGGGTCAGCGCTCGGGTGTAGAAAATGCCCCTGCCGAGATGTGGGTGCTGCCCCGGTGGCTGTTTCGTCCTCACTGCGTGCTGGGCCAGGGAGAGGGTGAGGACAGGATTTGGAGGACGGCTGTGGTCTGATAAGTGAAGTGGCTGGTGATGGAAAGAAAGCGCCTTCTTCTGCTGTAACCACTTTCCTCCCAGTACTCCGGAAAATGAAAGTCAGCGTTAATATTTTAACAAAATAGGTGGGTCTTGTAAGGAATTGAGGAATCAAATGAGAAGGTATCAGAGGATAGATAGTTGGATTTCCCACAAGTTGTTGAATTTGGGACCTTTTTTGCCATGAGCCGTTGAGGCTGGAAGTTCTTGGAGTTGGTACCGTTTTGTGAATTGGCTAGTATCGAGTTAGGGAAGCCTGGGGACTTTGGAGGGGCGAGTTCTCTCATTTAGCTCCGAGTAGATCTTTTCTATTGAAGTGGCTTTAGGCTTGTATGTGTATTTGTGCAACTGAAATTTACTAAATAACTCTTTGGGCCTTTGGGGATTCAAAATAAAGCTTGGAAATTAACTCTTCCTCCCCCCCCCCCCCCCATTTTTGTCTTGCTGCTGGCTTTGCTGCTTGTGCTAGGAAGAGACCTGGGAAATTACGTTTCTTGCAGAGGTAAGTCTGGAACTTTTTTATTATTTTCAAACCCCGGAAGGGAAGGGAAATGGCATGGGAAATGCATTGGGGTTGAGCCCAGTAATGGAGTAATGGAGTAGGTGCCAGGCAAAATGAGTCTTAGTTCACCTACCGAACTGAGTGCATAGCATCTGTTGCGGTCACTGTCCCTTTAGGTAACTGGAGAATGGTAGGAGGGAAAGGAGAGCAGAAACTGGGTGTCTTGGCGTAAGTCCCCAGCTTGGTTTTATTATTATCTAGTCTTCTTGGTCAGCTCTGAGAGAAACATTTTTTAGCATATGGGACGTTGTGCTCTAGCACAGTGTCCACTGAATGTCCCCCTTGGAGGGTTGCGTGGGAAGGCCTTTCCTGTAGCTTACGCTTTCTTCTCATTCAGGGTTCCCGGAAGCTTCCTCATGGGGACTCATACTATGTAATTCTGACTTCCACATACTCGGTTACATTTCCCTAGTCCCAGCAGCAAGAAAGCTTTTCGTGTACGCTTAGCCATCTTTAAGGTCTTCCAGGTTCTTATTTCAGGTTTCAAGACATCACTCTTTTTTAGTTTTTCCACTAGTTTTTCTAAGGGCTTCTGAGAGAAATACCTCTAGCTCTGAGGCAATAGACATATCACCCCTGGTTGGGCTGAGACTAGACTTTGCTGAGAAGTAGAACCTAACAGAGAACAAGCAATTGAGGAAAATCTGTAGGTATATAGAGACTGTCCGTTAGCCCTGGCTGGCTTGGACCTCCCTAAAGAAAAACAAATAAACAAACAAACTACAACTTTAGAAAATGCAGCAGTTCATCAGAATACAGAATTCTTTTTGGAAAACTGTAGCAGGGGACTCATGCATCAGGATCTCAAATGCACTCAAACCAACCAGTGGGGTCAGGACTTGTGTTTGCTGCGTTTTGGTGCCTGGCATTATTTCAGACACCAGGATTCAGAAGGTCTTGCTCATCTTCTGTGCAGAGGGTGTGCACTCCTCACCATGCTGGAACCTTCACCTAGGAGCTCTGTGTAACTTACACTGGGTCCCTCACTCCGCTGCCACAGAAAGCTGAATATCTTTTGGATTAAGAGGAAGCTGGCCATGTTCTTTTAATGCTGAGGTTAAATATATAGATTCTTGGAATCCACATCTGGATTGCTGAGTGAGTGAACGCACTCTCCTAGATGGTGATTAAGTGGGGAGGGCTGCCTGTTAGCCTGCATGCCAGCCTCCCGATGTGTCTCCCAAGGACATGGCCTTGGGAGACGCAGGCCTCTTCTCCACTTCACTTCATTGAATAGGGCCTGCTACTGGTCTGGTTCTAGGACTTTGGCTGTGAGGGTTAAGTGCAGGATCCTTCTTGTCTGTTTAGCAGAGGATGGCACTGAACTAGGTCAAATTAGACTCCTGGGATGGGGCAGAAGGCAGTGTAGACTGCCCCTGCTCATCACCTGAATGGGACAGCAGGTGACAGAGAAGCCGAGGTTGGGTTGGACTGGGGTGGAACTCCTAAGTGCCAGTTGGACTCGTGAGTTAAATGAGTATGTGTCTGACTGGCTTTCCTTTTCTTCTGGAACGTTGTTTGATGGGTTTGGGTCGGGGACAGATGGCTTCCTCTCCAGATCTTGGGTGGAAAGTGACACCTGTTTCTGTTCCTTCTGACCCTTCATCCTGCTCCATATAGAGCAGGGTTTCTCACCCTCAGCACCGTTGACATTTTGGGCTGGGTAATTCTTTGTCGTGGGGCCCGTCCTTGCATTGTAGGGTGTTTAACAGCATCCGTGGCCTCTCCTCAATGCATGCTGGTAATACCCCCCCACCCATGACAACCTAAAATGTCTCCCGACGTTGCCGAGTGTCCCCTGGGGGGCAAACTCGCCCCTGCTTGAGCACTGCTGACCCAGAAGCTCTGATAGTCCCTGGCACCTTGAATGATCTGGCCTGGGGATCCAGGACTTAAAAGTGGCTGTTTTTTTCCTCAAATGTAGGGAGTTAACCCTCAGCGGATGGAAGCCTGTTGTAGAGCTGTATACATTGACGAATAATTAGGACTACAGTGCTTTCCTGTAGTTTGCCTCGTTTTCCAGTGGCCAGTTAATGTGGGGACAATACTTACTTATTTCCTCAGATTTATAGGCAGGACATTTTGAGTTAGGGAGCCCTGGAGCCCATGTGCTTTTTCTGGGGTCCTTATAATCAACAGCCGGTCAAAGGGAGCAGGTGGGATGGGGAAGGAGGAATAGGCCGTGGGCCTCGGAGGGGCTCAGTTCCCCGTGCTGCCTGCGTGAGCAGGAAGTTGTTCCCCTTCAGCCCCTCCATTTATCCCAGGGGCTGCGGTGTGAAACAAGAGGAAGAGGAGAGGAAGTCCAGTCTGTAGCTGAATAGCTCTTTTCCCAGCTGTTCCCCATGCTTCAGGGGGCTGGGGGCATCTGGGCTGTCATAACTAGACGAGGGCTGTATTTCTGGTCTACATGCCAGAACCCATGGTAGGGGGCGAAGTGATTCCAGGGTGGGCCGCCCCTTCTCTTAAGGGTACGCGTCTCTGTGCTTCTATTTTACGGTTACTGAGGAAGAGGGGACCAGGTCCTACTTGGCTCCTCAGTTTCCTGAGACACCCCACGCCCCGCCCCCGCCACTTGACTCTGGTGAAGTAGCTCATTTTATTCTCCGTGTTAACCCAGACCCAGTCTCTTGGTGTAAGAAAGGGACAGATAGCCCCTCGTTGAGAAGGGTGCAGTGGCAGGGCCGCCCTGCAGTGTGGGGAGGCCACGGCCAGAGCTCGGGCGTGGTCACTGAGTTGTGTGTGTCTGGTTTTAATGAAGTCCTCTCACTCTTGGACTCCGGTGAATTTGTCTCCTCGTGGGTAGTGCTGCGATGACCTCTCGGAGGTGGAGTTCAGTGTGTGTGCCAGGCTCTGTCCTGGCTAGGCACTGGGAATATAAAGGCGGATATAGTTCAGTCCCTCTAATGAGTTGCTTAAGATCAATGGGACAGTCAGCGCACAACTAATGTTTGTGCACGTTGATAAATGTCTTGAAGGAAATATGACTGCCCGCGGGAGCACAGAGGAGGGCTACTTACCCATGGGGTGTAGAGAATGAACTTGAAGATGGCATCTGAGCTGACTCTTACAGGGGGAGTAGGCACTGGCTACCCAAAAGACGGGGCGTGTGGGACTGAGAGGGAAGGGGACATTCAGTCACAGGAATGGCCTGAAGGGACCAAGTGAATGGAGTGATGTATGTGCACTGTAAACAAACAGTAACCTTAGAATGAAAGGTGGGTGGAGATTGGAAAGGTGGGCAGGTTTGGCGTTCAGAGTGTTACGGGTCAGGAGTGGCTCTAGACAGGTCTTCAGCAGAACAGTGATGGTCAGTCGTGCGCTGTAGATAGCAGTTCAGCTGGGTGTGGGCAGGGGTCTGGGTGGGGGAAGGCCGTTGGTAAAGTGCCCTTAAGGAGGCCGCTGCAGGAGTCCCGGTGAGAGCTTTCTGGGACCTGAGCCAGCGGGGTGGTGGCGGCGGTGGCGGCTAGGTGAGGCCGATTTGGGAACTACTCAGAAGTAGCATCAACAGGGATTTATACCTGATCGGGTGGTTGGAGGTTGTGGTCAGAGGGGAGCAGTACTGGCTGCTGCTCTTGGGAGGCAGTGAGAATGACTGACCAGAGAGGACGTGAACGTTATTGGACCCGAGGTGGGTTATTGGCTGGGTCATTCACAGGATGATGGAGCTTTGTGAATCAAGTGCCAAATGATATGAGTGTAGAGCTTTGGTAAATGACAGCCATGAGGAAAGGCAGGAGGTGGCACTTCCAAGTGGTGTGTACGAGTACACGTGGAATAGGAGGTGCAGGAACGCTCAGCACGGGCGTAGCAGGTGTGTGGATGTGAGCTCACGGCTTTGGGTGAGTACCGATTGACCTTCTGGACCTGGTGGGATGGTAGGAAACCTCAAAATAAGTTCTGGAGGGATGAGTCTGGGCTGCAGAGGTCCAGGGTGCTTCTCTCTGAAATCTCTTTCACGATGATGTATGTGAGGTTTACAAAGTGGTTTACGTGTATTTTCTCAGTGGATTCTTAAGAATGAGGAGTGGTTTCTTGGATCTGTGTTTTGTAGATGGGGGCGGTGAGACTTTGAAGTTAAGTGACTTGCTTAAAGTGATACAGCTTGCAGCTTGTTAATGATGCAGACAGAATTGAACCCTTCTTGCCCTAAAGATTTTCAGCTTCTCTGCTGTTAGTCCCTAAATTCATCTGTTATTGCTCCCATACCAGAGTTAACAGTGAGTTCTCTTCCTCTTCTCAATTTTGCCTACATTTAAGAGGTGAACGAGTGGTGGGGAGGGAACAAGGAACCAAAAGCAGTACTTTGGTGGCAGGAGGGACAATCAGTGTGATATCTAATAGCAACTCCTGCTGGAAATGCAGCCCTAAAATTGCACCTAAGTCTCAATTAGGGGAAGCGACTGTTTTTCCAAGAGGGTCTTTCCCTGCCCTGCAGTGTAGCGGGGGCCGCGGCTGCAGAGCAGGACTGCCGGGAGGCGCTACGCCCCTGAGCCCAGCATGGCAGGCCTGAAGCGGAGGGCGAGCCAGGTGTGGCCAGAGGAGCGTGGCGCGCTGGAGCACGGGCTCTATAGCCTGCACCGCATGTTTGACGTCGTGGGCACCCACCTGACACACAGAGACGTGCGAGTGCTCTCCTTTCTGTTTGTTGATGTCATCGACGACCACGAGCGGGGGCTCATCCGGAACGGACGGGACTTCCTGCTGGCGCTGGAGCGGCAGGGCCGCTGTGACGAGAGTAACTTCCGCCAGGTGCTACAGCTGCTGCGTGTCATCACTCGCCATGACCTGCTGCCCTACGTCACGCTCAAGCGGAGGCGGGCTGGTGAGGGCACATGGGGCTGGGGACTCAGGGCCGGGAGGTGGGGGGAGGCCCAGCGGGAGGGCTGCACCAAAAGTGGGGTGTCTTCCTGAATGCCCCCTCCCCGCAGTGTGCCCCGATCTCGTGGACAAGTATCTGGAGGAGACATCGATTCGCTATGTGACCCCCAGAGCCCTCAGCGACCCAGAACCGAGGCCTACCCAACCCCCTAAAACAGGTGAGAGGATATGAAGTGCCCTCATTGCCGTGATCAAGAAGGACAGAGAACCCATCGTAGCCCCAGCTTTGCCGGCTTAAGTGAAAGGACACTGTCCCCCCACGTAGCCCCATAAGCCAGGTGAGGCATTGTTGCGTCACCTCGGTCCTGTGTCCCCAGGTGTCCTCCTTCCAGGTCACATAGTGGCTACTGCGTTCCGTGCTCAGTGTAAGTGATCCCTTCCTCATTCCACGAAAGGTGTTTAACGTTATCTTTCCCTCTCCCCCTCTGGTCAGTGCCTCCCCACTATCCTGTGGTGTGCTGCCCTGCTCCGGGCCCTCAGATGTGTAGCAAGAGGCCAGCTCGAGGGAGAGCCACACTCGGGAGTCAGCGAAAACGCCGGAAGTCCGTGACAGCGGATCCCAAGGAGAAGCAGACGTGTGGTGAGGAAGCGGAGGGTTGCGGAGGGCACGAGTACTGCGGGCCCCGGGCAGTGCAGGCTCGCATGGCGGTTGCACAGCGAAGCTGGGGTGTCTCGGGCTCCTCCGCCTCTGCGGCAGGGTGCATTTCAGCTCCTTTTAGTTGATACTAAATCAGAGGGATGCCATTATGACATCCGTGTTGGACGGTGGACCAGGTCATGACAAGGTAGCGAGGTGACTAGGAAAAGGCCTCGTACAAGAAGGGGCTGCACGTGAGTGATGGGGCATCTGACCTGGGCCTGGCCCACTCGAGCCAACCTCCTACACTCAGGCCAGGGTTTCACAGGCACCTGGAGAGAACGAGTCCTGGGGGAGAGGTAGGGAGCTGTCAGGTGTTGCCCACCTGTTCTGCAAGCCTTTCCCGCACAGCCACCCCTGACCCCAGCATCTTGTGCGCATCTTCCTCCCCAGACATCAGGCTGCGGGTCCGCGCGGAGTACTGCCAGCATGAGACCGCACTGCACGGCAACGTCTTCTCCAACAGGCAGGACCCGCTCGAGCGCCAGTTTGAGCGCTTCAACCAGGCCAACACCATCCTCAAGTCCCGGGACCTGGGCTCCATCATCTGCGACATCAAGTTCTCCGAGCTCACCTACCTCGACGCATTCTGGCGCGACTACATCAACGGCTCGTTACTGGAGGCGCTCAAAGGTGTCTTCATCACAGACTCCCTGAAGCAGGCCGTGGGCCACGAAGCCATCAAGCTGCTGGTGAACGTGGACGAGGAGGACTATGAGCTGGGCCGACAGAAGCTCCTGACGAACTTGATGCTGCAGGCCTTGCCCTGACTGTCTTGGGGCTGCCCCGCCACTCGCGTCCGGAGTGCACACTGTTCTGTTCTGGGGTTTGTTCTTACCCTGCCAACCAGTCACAGCCCTGCCTTTTTTTTTTTTTTTTAAGGAAAAGACAAAGGAACATGGAAGTGGTGTCCCCACCCCCCCATGCAGCCATGTGCCTGGGCTTCCCCTTTGTCCCCCTTCCCACTTATCCCGATGTGTCTACAGCCACCTTGCCACTGAGCCAGAAGACAGATGTGCAGGGACAAGTGAAGGCTGTAGCGCAGTCTTTGCAAGGGACTGAAGTGAACACTGCGTCTGCGTGCGTGCATGGGGGTTAGCAGTGCTCCTGGCTTTATGAGGGCTCTTAAATCCTGTCTGAAAAACCAAAGGGCTGTGAGTAAGGGAGCTGTGTGGAAGGTGGGACTCGGAAGTGGGTTTTGGAAATTAATCACCACCCTCTCCCAAATTACAGAATTTTTAAAAAAACAAACAAGCTGTGGCCCTTCCCACTGTCTCCTGGCCTCTGGTGCTGCTCCTCTGCCTCTTTCCCCCCACGCCATGGCCGAGACCTCTGCCTGGTGTGGCGCCTCCTTTCCCCCTTTGTCAAACCTTCGTCAGGGGAGAGTAGGTAAGAGGAATAGGTCAGCCTGGTCGCCCCTCCCAGCTGACGGAGATGTGTGTGCGCACACATGCACGGGTGGGCGGGGCAGAGGCTGCTGATGAAAATAGACTCCCCCTGAAAAGGGGCAGGGGGAGTGTGAGCCTGCCTTCCATGTTCAAGTGAAAATAAATGATGTACCCTGCAGCCCTTTTCCCCTTTGCATCCTTCTGGCTTGGGCACAGGGCACAGTAGGTGAAAGTGAAGTAATTCTTAATTCAGTATCAGCTCCCTCCTTTGTCCTTCCCCACCCACTTCCCCCCACTCCCACTCCCACTCCCGGGCTTGGGAGCATGGGGCCAGGACATGCACTGAGTGTCGCACTTTTATTTAGGTAGGGAGGCCTGTGGCGTGAGCCAGGAGGCCTGGAGTGGCTCCCAGTCGGCTGGTACACCACCACCTCCCCTTTCAGCTCCCAAAGGAGACGTCCACACACAGACTTTATGATTATTATATTTTTTTTCAATGCCAGTGCTGCTCAGCCCTCAGCATAATTTCAGTTTTCTTGAAATAAACAGTGACTATATAAAATTCCACCTTTCTGAAACTGAAATGTGAGCGCAGGTGAGTTTCTTCTGTGCCAAGAAGCTGAGCCTGTGTTCCATCAAGAGACTCAAGGTTCTCCAAGTAGGGGAGCTGCGTCTGGGTCCTGCCCAGAAGTTACAGTACCACCAGCTCACAGTGGGGCTCTCGGCGCACCAGAGTCAGAAGGCTCAAGACAGTGGGCGACCCAGACCGCCGTAGAGGTCGGGCCTGCGGTGCTGGAACACAGGCAGGTGTTGGCGCAGCTGTCGTAGGTAATTGAGGTCGATTCGGGCCAGGCAGAGGCCTGGTCCCTCAGAGCAGCGGGCCACCACGGTTCCCCAGGGGTCCACCACCATGCTGTGGCCGTAACTTGCTCTCTTCTCATGGTGGCGCCCACATTGTGCTGCTGCCACTACATAGCACTGGGCTTCAATGGCGCGGGCCCTCAGTAACACCTGCAGGTGGGGACGAGTGTTCACTTAGGGACACGTAGCAGCTAGTGGGGAAGTGGTGGGCAATGGACACTGCAGGCCAGTCCACCCGCTGTGACCATTCTGGTAATTGCCTAGAAGAGATTCACGAGGTTAACTGCTCTTTAACATGAGAGTCAGGCAGCAACCTGGGAAATGAATTTTCCCACTGGCTGGGAAGAGGGAGAAAGTCTGAACTGGCAGGGCGGAGGGAAGACAGTGAGGTTGAGAGAAGGCTGTTTTGAAGAGGCCCTCTTACCTCCCAGTGGGCGGGGCCTGTTACGGATCCAAAAGCTGAGGGGTAGGTAAGTATTTCTGCTCCAGCCTGAGCCAATGCCAGAGAGAGTTCAGGGAACCGCATGTCATAGCAGATAGCAAGACCAATCTGGAATGAAAAACAGCTTCCTTGGTTAGCCGTGTCCTGTCACACCACCGCAACCCTCCTCCTCAGGGCTTCCTATCCTCCTCCACGCCAGTGTCCCTGTTCCCCTCCCTCTTGTCATTTCACAAGTCCCACCTTGCCTGCTGGTGTGCTGACAGGGGGCGTGAGACTGGGCCCAGGCATGGTAGAGCTGCTTTCACGCATAGGCCCCTGCCCCGGAATCTCCACGTCACACAGATGCGTCTTCCTGTAAGTGGCCACTGCCGACCCTAGAGTAAGAGGGAGGAGGAAACTTGGGGCTGGTACTCGAGAAGCCCAGCTTAGTTCCTCTAGTCCCAAAGAGAGAGTTCATGGGCTAGGAACAGAGAAGCACAGACACCCCTGTTGAGAAGTCTGGAGAATTGTTTAGGTAGAAGAGCCTGGGAAGGGGCAGGCTAGAGTGATGACATCTCACCCTCGCTGTCCAAAAGCACGTGACAGTTGTAGATTTTCTGAGTCTGCTCCCAGTCTTGGCCACGCTCATGGAAGCCACCCAAGGACAGCCAGAGTCCACATTCCCTGGGGGGAGGGGACACCGACATTTCTCATATCTGGCAATTCAGAGACGCTGCCCAACAAAGAAACCACCTCCCTCCACGCTTCCCTGGTACCTGGCCAGCTGCTTATATTCTCCCAAAAGGCTCCCACCCAGTGGCTCAGACAGGTGCAGAGTCTCTGTGGTGTCGCGTGCAATGAAGTCAAATGCCTCGGGTAGGAAAGCCAGGCAAGCGCCCAGTCTGGCAGCCTCTCGAACCAGCTCAGCACATGTTTTAAAGTTCTGCTGCTTGTCTGGTGTTGATGTGACCTGGCACACAGCCACCAGGGGCAGTTCCCAGGAGGAAGTGGAGGTAGCCATGGCTCTGGGCCTGTGAAGAGCATGGGCAGGACTCAGATTCCCCAGCATGGGGAAACCCAAGTTTAACTACAAGGGGCTCTAAGCGGAGGCAAGAAGGCCGGACACCCCTTTGATGCTGCTCTTACGAGGCGCAACGGCCCATCATCTATCAAATGTTCTGTGGATGGTTGGTACCCCCGTCTCCCATCACCCATTCATTTAACAAACTTTTACTGGGCACCTACTATGTGCCAGGCACTGAGGATACGACAAGCATGTTACCTGAGCTGAGCACAAAGTACTGCGAGTCGAGGTATCCGGAGAGCGGGACACAGGAGGGACAGGAGCTGGTGAGGCCTTATGATGAAGAACAGTCTGAGGAAGGGGAGAAATCAGGACAACCGCTCCCTCTAGCCACGAATTTCTAGGCCTCTCTGACGTCTCTCTTCATACTGTGTGGCTGAATCAGGGCCCTGCCCCCAAGTCCTCAAAACGCTCTTTATTACAGGTAATTACGGGCCGCGGGAAGAGATCACAAGGTGGGAAGGAGGGAACCTCGACTTCGTGATCTCGCGTTCCACGGAAGCCCTGTCCTCCGCCAAGCGTCCGCGAGTCCGCGTCCCCCCAGAGCGTCCTGGCTCTTCCCCGCCTCTCCTGGCAGCGCACCTGCACGGCCCACCGCCCGAGAGCACTCCTCCCCCGGGCCCGTCTGGGGCAGGCTCACCGGGCCCGGTTCCCACCGCCGCGCCCCGCTCTCCCGTTAACCCGCCCCCGCCCTCGCCGCGCAGGCGCCTCGGCCGCACCGCAGAGCCCCGCAGGCGGCCGGCGGGATGGGGAGCGGGCCCTACATGAAGACACAGCCGGAACCACTCGCAGGGGCGCAACCGGAGAGCGGCCTGGAGGCGGAGGCGCCGGGGCGAGCGGGCGGAAACCCTGAGGGCGGAAGTGACGCACAGGACTGCGCTGCGCGCCGGAAGCCCCGCAGGCGGCGAAGATGGCGGAGAGCAGCGGTCGCGCGGGCAAGAGCTGCGGGAGCGGCGCGGGCAAGGGGGCGGTGTCGGCCGAGCAGGTGAGGCGCGGAGAAGGCGGAGGAGGGCGGCCCGGCCGGGTCCGGAGAAGATGCGAGAAGAGGGCGCGCCTGCGGCTGTCGTCGGCCCTCGCGCCCGCCCCGACCTGGTGGCCGCCCGGAGAGGGGAGGGTCGTGGGAGAAGGCAGCCGGGCCCCGCGGGAGAGTGGGCGGGCTGGGAGGTGGGAGCTGCGCCCCGGGGGGCGCTGGGTGAGCCTCCGGGAAGCGAAGCCGTCAGATGCGGGGCCCCGGGGGGCGCACGGGTCCGGCGGGAGACGGCGTCGCTTTCCCCGCGTCTCTGCGCCCTCAGACGGCGTGTGGGTGGGCGGCTCGTAGCGGATCCCAGGGGATTCGTCGGCGGGCTGGTTGTGTAGTCTGTTATCCGACCCTGAAACCAAGCTGACAGTCGCAGTCACTGCAGAGCCGCGTGACGCACGGAGCCGAACTGCCTCGTGTTTCATAGAGTTTTGAGTCGGGAGTCATTATTAGGTTGAATTTCTGTGGAGACCAGAAACGCTCTTCTAATCCGATTTTGCTTTTCCCCTAGTGCCTAGCATCGGGCAGCGTTTTATGAATTAACCAGAAAGCCCTTTGTGGTTTGGGAAACATGGTTTGCTAATAGTGTGGCAAGAGCTTAATAGAGGTGGGAAGAAATCGACACAAGAGAAAGGAAAACATAGCTAAACAATAGCTCTTTTAATTACAGATTCATGTATCAGTTATTTGTTGAACAACTACTCAGGCAAAGGTATCAGCGTAAAGATTTTTCATCCTGTCTCTTGCCATCAGAGTTCTAGCCTGGTTGGGGAAAATACCCGTAAGATACACAAAATGCTAATGTGAGGCAGAAGGTAAGTGTGCTAAGAGAGCTCTAAAGTGCTCTAGCATTTTGAGGAGGGAGGAAGACACAGTCTCAGACTTAGTGGGAGAAAAGGGAAGGGAGAAGGAACCCAATACATTGTGAGGATCCACCATGTGTCAGACACTCTGCTGGGTGCAGGAAAGCAGATAAAGGAAACAGAGCTCCTTCTCAAGGCCCATTTGAGAAAAGACAAAGCAAACAATAAGGTTTGCAGCGTTCCACACAGGCCCTTATTTATGGCAGCTAGAGGAGGGACCCCAACTAAGCAGGAGGGTATGAGATTGGGGCGGGAGGTGGGCAGAAAGGGAAGCTGTGGTATAAAAGGATGGCTCAGACTAAGAAATGCACTGGGGTGGGACAGACGTGTGTTTGACCCACATTCCTGCCATAGAGGACGACCTCCCATGAGTTACTTCTCTCGGCCTTTTCCTCCAGTAAACACCTAGTGGTTCCTACCTCATCGCTGAATGTTGGTTATTAGGCAAGACATTGTGTGCACAGTGTTTTGCACAGTGACTAGAATGTAGTATGGGCTTAATAAATGCTAGTTATTTTGTTTTCTAGAAGAGAGAATCCTTCAGCTCCATTCTCAAAGATGAGAGGAGTCAAGCAGAGAAGGAAGTGGAGGGATTTTCTCGGTAGAGGGAACAAAGGGTTTAAAAGCACTAAGACGTGAAACTGCCTGACATGTTTGGGATGCAGGTGAACTTAAAGTTAGAAATGGAATGCAAGACTTGAATGTGCAGAAAAAGGGATAAAAAAGGAACCTAGGATGTTTCTCAGGTTTTTGTCTTTGATACATGATGGTGCCATAGGGAATATAGGAAGATGGACAAGTTTCGGGGGAGGGAATAAGTTTATTACAGGATTTGAGTTTGGGTTTGTTGTGGGACATCCAGGTGAAAACGTTTAGTAAGTGGTTAGACTTATAAATCTTGACTTACAGAAAGAAATCTGAGTTGAAGCTATAAATTATGGGTGTGGATGAAATCACCTAGGGTTTGTACAGAAAGTGAAAAAAGAAGCAGGATGGGGTGGAACCAACATGTAAAGTTGGAGAAAGAGAAGCCCTCAGAAGACACTGAGGACCTGAGGTCGTTGAGCTCTGAGACTGCTCTTGCTTAACTCTGGCTTTTGGGTTTAGGTTCCAGAGAGAACACTGGGTAAAAAATATAAGCTTTATCATCTCTGCAAATTGGAGCCACCTGTGTCCCTTATAAACAAGATGGAAGCAAGTAGCCGATTGTGCTAGGCACTTTCCTTGTTTTCTGTTACTTAATTACTGCCATTGAAGTAGGTTGTATTGTCCTCCCTTTATATATAAGGACAGTTGAGCTTCCGAGACTTTAGCTAACTTACCCAGAGTCAGTAACTGGAAGAGCGGGGCTTCTAACTGAGAGACTTGAGAATCAGACAGACCTGCTTTTTTCACTTAGACATGATCAGATCAGAGAACTTGAGCTGAGCCTAAAGGAGTGGCAGTGGAAGCAGGAGGAAGGGAAGGGCGCAGAGCACCGATTGCAGGGAAGGGTAGCGACTGGATGGCTTAATTAAATCATGAGGTGTCAGTCAGAAAGATGTGCTCTTCAAAGTAAGCTGGATCTTTGCATGGCAAAGAATTTGGGACTTTTTTTAGAGGAACAGTGTTGGGGAATTGGGGAAGGGGAACAGCCAAGTTGTTGTCCTTCAGTCTTAGTTGTGGAGAGCGCACCTAGTTCAGCTCCAGGTCCAGTCGCCATCCGGCCGCCCTTTGGCAGCTCACAGCCACTCAGCTCAAGGTGCCGAGTTCATCCTTAGTTGCGGGGGGCATAGCCCACCGTCCCATGCGGGAGTCAGACCGGAAATCTTGTTGTTAGGAGCATGTGCTCTCACCAGCTGAGCCATCCTGCCATCTTTTGGTAGAGCAGCAGCAGCTCAGCTCAGGCACAGCTCACTGGCCCATGTGGGAATTGAACCGGCGACCCTATTGCTCAGAGCTCATGCTCTTAACCAACTGAGCCACTCTGCTGGTCCAAATTTGGGACTTTCTGATGGAAGCAGGGAGGGAGTCATAGAAGGATATATGTTACACTGTTGGTTTTTTTTCCTATTACATAAAATAATACATGTTCATTGTGGAAACTAGAAAACACAGGAAAGAGTACAAAATAAGAAATAAATTACCCATGACCCTGTGATCGAGAGAGCACCATTCTTACTGTTTAGGAGCATATTCTCTGAGAGGTTTCCTCTGCTCGATGGTTTTGTGTATGTGTGTAGATGGAAAGAGAGGAAGTGTGTATTTTACATATTTTATAAAATTGGTATTGTACAATATATACTGTTTTGTAACCTGCTCTTTGAGCCTAATAATATTGGGTTGTCGGAAAAGTCATGACGTATTTTTTCTATGTTTTTCGTTGCAAAAATGCGTCATGACTTTTCCGACAACCCAATATACCATGAACATTTTTCTGTGTTACCAAGTGTTAGGAAAATTAAACCACCAGCAGTGTATAGGATGGATTTGGAGAGTCGAAAATTAGGGAGATAAAAGACTATTGTACTAGTTCAGACAAGAGGTAATAAAGGCTTGAATTAGGGTGATGTCATTGAACCGAAGAAAAATTGCTGAGGTGGGGGCAATAAATTTGGCAATTGATGGAACATGGGTGTGTTCAAAGATGGAACCAGGGTTTCCTACCTGTGGGGCTAGAGTGGTGTCCTTAGCAGAAATAGGTGAGACAAGAAGAGGAACAGTTTAAAACAGGGGGAAAGGTGATCAGCTCAGCTTTGAGTCTGCGGTGTTCACAGGACATTAGGTGGAGAGGTTCTGTGATAACACAGCTGTTTATTGACAGTCTCTCAGATGCTGGCTATTATCCTAAACCCTTGATGTAACCAATTAATCCTTACCACATCCTGTGAGACAGATGATATCTCTTTGTTATTAGTGAAATAACTTAGGTTCAAATAAGAAATAACTTGCTTATGGTCAGACTTTTTTTTTTTTTTTTTTTTTTTAAAATTTTTTTTTGGGGAGTGTCACTGGCCCTCATATGTGGGATCCGAACCGGGGCCCTCTGGCATCCCAAGCGAGTTCTTAACCATCGCGCCACTCGGCCGGCCCGCTTATGGTCAGACTTTAAGCCACTTTGTCTGACTCGAGGCTCCTTCCTTCTAACTTGGGAATGTGGGTCTAGAGTTTCTGAGAAGGCCTGGCCTGGCTGTCAGTTAGAATGAAGGCAAGTGTTGAAATCACAGAAGTGGCTAAGAATACCAACTGACATCGTATAGGTAATAAAGGGAGGGGTACTGTGAACAGAACCTTAATCCTGTCTCCCTTGTAGGGGTGAGAGGAAGAGCTTCCAGAACAGAGAACGAGTGAGTGTTGGGAGAGGCAGGAGAACCAGAGAACCGAAGTGTCCTGGGAACTAAGAGCTGAGAACCTACATTCTGTCAAGACACTTGACTGTCACCTCAGTTCAGTTCTCAGTGTTACCTATCGCGGTGGCTCTCAGCCTGCTGTGATTTTGCCCGAGGAGACACTTGACAAGGTTGTCATGAGTAGGAGTTGCTACTGGCTTTTAGTGGGATGTTGCTAAACATCCTACAGCGCAATGGACAGAACAAAGAATTATCCTGCTCCAGATGTCAGCAGTGCTGATGTTGGGAGACCCTGCCCTATGGTATGTCAGCTCCATTTCATAAGCGAGTAAACCGAGAGAAGGTCAGTAACTCAGTCCCATAGCAAGTAAATGGCAAAACTAGAATTGGAACCCAGGTTAGACTCAAAAGTTTGGGATCTTTCCATCATACCATGTTGTTACTCAAAGGAAGAGCATTTCAAGAAGCAGACTGAAGATTGAGAAAAGGTCATTGGATTATGCAATTGTGTAGGAGGCCATTCACTATCTTTGAGAGGATAGTTTAATAAGCACTATATGGTTTATAACCAGAACAGACAGAAAACCTTTTGAATGCATCTTACAGTGTGTTGGGAGTGAATGGGAGGTAAGGAAGTGGAGGCTGTGAGTGTGGACTAGTCGTAACAAAATGTGATGACAATGGAGATAAAGAGTCATTATCTGAGGGAGCAGTAAAGTCAAAGAAGTTTCTTTGGTAGACTTGAGTATTTTTGTCAGAGAAGGGGGCACTGATCTGAGACGATAATTAGCGGAGCGGTACCCTGGAAAGTCCTTTTCCAGATGCGTCCAGCCGTCATCCTCTTCTCTTCTTCCGTTGAGCCCAGTAAGAGTAAACAGGCATTACTCCTTCCAAAGCCTGTCCGGACAGCCCTCTGTCCCTGCAAGTCCAATAGCTGTCTACCCACCCACATTACCAATGGTTCTTCCTCCACCGTAAACTGCAGAGGGACCTGCACGCATCTCCCACTCCGGGGATGCTCGGTGAGTGTCAGGCGAATGAAATGCCAGGCAGACTGAAGTCAGTCACGGCAGGTTGTCCTTGTCCTTTCCCAAGGCAGCTGTGTGCTGCTGCATCTTTGTGAAGCCTGCCACTTCCCGTCTCCGCTCTCACTTCTCATCTTTCTCTCCTTCTTAGGTAATCGCTGGCTTCAACCGCCTTCGGCAGGAACAGCGGGGCCTGGCGTCCAAGGCAGCTGAGCTGGAGATGGAGTTGAATGAGCACAGGTGAGAGGGCCAGGAGACGCAGACAATGTGACAGTTGGGTGGCCACTTTTAGGGAGGGTGGTAGCAGAGTGGGGCTGGGTCTCAGGTCCTGCCTTGTCCCCACGCAGCCTAGTGATCGACACACTGAAGGAGGTGGGTGAGACCCGCAGGTGCTACCGCATGGTTGGAGGGGTGCTGGTGGAGCGGACTGTGAAGGAGGTGCTGCCTGCCCTGGAGAACAATAAAGAGCAGGTGAGCAGGAATCAGGGGG